ATTCTCAGAGCCTTGCAGGGCTAGCGTGCGAGCCAAACAGAGAACCTGCGAATGCTCAAATGCGCATTGGGCACGCCTCCAAAATGCGGCCCTCTGTATATTGTTCGAAGGGATCCAGGTTGTGTCGCATCGTGCCGGAGAAAAGCACCGGATCCTGGGGCACAAGGCCCATCGCCTGCGCAGCGTAACCCTGGCCACAAGACAAGGCGGTACCAGACGAGCTTGGCAAAATCAATCAACTTGGCTCACCAATTTCACGAAGAATTTGAAACCCGACTTACGACTTCCCTGCCCGCATCTGCCCGCCCCGATGTCACTTCCCCTCAAAGTTCTCATTTTTCTCTTCGCACCTCCCTCAAAGTGGCCAGGCCCAGGTCCCTGGTGTCCACCTGGTTGATGAGGACACGCCCGGACCGCGGCTCCAGGACCCGCAGCAGGACCAGCAGGAAGCTGCTCTTGCCGCAGCCCGTGGTCCCGATGACCCCCACCTTCCAAGAATCATCCCGGGGGGGGCGGCCCAAATGCCCACATCACTTGCGCCCTGCATATATCACGTATAAGATATGTCGACTCGTAATCATATGGAACGTAGGCACAGGCAAATATGTTCTCCTTGGCCCAATCAACATGGCCTCACACCGGACAGCTAGCTTTCGTGCCTTGGAGCGGGCTTCAAAGCAAAGATTGACCTTCTTCAGCACATCTCGCGAATCTCCGTAGCCGGCTCTGATATTCTCCACCTCATGCAATGGAATTGGAACAGAGCAGCCGCACCCTTATGAACCCTATACATCTTAGAATCTTAGATGAATGCAACATCCAATTCCCCGCAAAAGTTCCTAGCAACCCCAGCTCTGCTCTGCAAGAACGGAGGCTCCCCAGTTTTCACTGTCATCTTGATCTTTGCACAGCCCCTATTATCTTGTCGTCCCCTCTCCCTCTCTTCCCCCCTTCCCCCCCTTCCCCCCTTCCGCCCCTTCCTCCCTTGCCCCCCTTCCTCCCCTTCTCCTTCTCCCCTTCTCCTTCTCCCCTTCTCCTTCTCCCCTTCTCCTTCTCCCCTTCTCCCTTCCTCATCGTCCATTTTCGTCCTCCACCTTCTCTTCACATCGACAAAAGTCTTCCATGGCACCTTGATGTGCGCGCCATCCAGGAGCCAGCCGCTCTGCACGCCCACCAGCAGCTGCTGGCTGCTGGCGAAGCTCACCGCGGTGACCCGGTGCCGGCACAGCTCCTGCGCCATGGCCTTGGCGCCCCGCGCGTCGTTCACGGACACCACCCGGTGCCAGCTCTTGGCCTCCGAACGAAGCGACTAATTAACCAAAAATAACTCAAACATTTCAGCCAAACAGCCAAACACCAAATCAAAAAAGCCAGGGAATCCGGGAAAAGATGGGAGAACTAAAAAAAACATGGGAGGTGGCTGCAGGAGCCCCCTCTATGTGGCTCGTGTGGGTTTGCGTACCTGCGCGAGCTCGGGGCTTCCAGGGCAAAGGTCTTGGAGCTGCGCAACGCCTGGGCCGCTCCCGATACCCGAGTCTTCCCATCCGAAGACCTGGACCTATTCGACCAACGTAGTCCTGAGAGTCGTCCTGAGAGTGTTCTAGTGTGTCTCTTCACCAGTTCTCTGGGAGAAACCCCTCGTCCATGGAACAGCACGGGACCCCAAGTTGAGACTTTTCTCTCCCCTCAACGCATGTAGCATTCCTGCACTGAGCCATCAATCCATCAACCCCTACTTCATTCACCCCGGTTCCTCCGCCTGCCAGCCCTGCCAGCACTGCCGGCCCTGCCTCCGCACTCGGCGCTGGGCACCAGGAAGCGGCCGTCGGAGCTGGACAGCAGCAGCACCTTGCCCTGTCTGGACACCTCTACGCCTGGCGACTCATCCGCAATCTGATCACTTGGCCGATCCGGCCCGGAATGACAACGAACCAACGAACCAGTGAGGGGACTGCTGAAATGTCTGTGGGTCTGTACGTCTGTCTGTCTGTGAGTCTGTCTGTGTGTCTGTGTGTGTATGTGGGTGTGTCTGTCTGTGTGTCTGTCTATGTGTGTGTGCGTGTCTGCCTGTGAATCTCTGTGTGTCTCCGTTTGTCTCTGCGTGTCTCTGTGTGTCTCTGCGTGTCTCTGCGTGTCTCTGTGTCTCTCTGCGTGTCTCTGTGTCTCTCTGCGTGTCTCTGTGTGTCTCTGCGTGTCTCTGTGTGTCTCTGTGTGTTTCTGTGTGTTTGGTGTGTCTCCGGGTGTCTCTGTGTGTCTCCGTGTGTCTCTGCGTGTCTGTGTGTCTCTGTCTGTCTCTGTGCGTCTCTGTCTGTCTCTGTCTCTGTCTGCCCGTATGTCTGTATTAGTGTGCGTGCATGTGTATATGTCTATATGTCAGTAGGTTTGTAGGTCTGTATGTATGCCTGCATGTGTGTATGTATTTGTGTGTGTGTGTGTATGTATGTATGTATGTTTGTATGTATGCATGCATGTATGTATGTATGGGTGGCAGAGTCATCTC